TTTGCTTCAGATTTTACCAAGAGACAAGCTAGGCTGTTCCTTGGTAGATATGAACGCGGTATCTAAGGACATTATGTAAAGCTTCTGCTCAACTTTATGAATTCCACGTCCTAGCTTTTCTCTTGGCAAGTACAGTCATTCCAAGCATCTTATGAATTCCGTATTTGCTTAGTAGTTGTCTGAGATCGTAATCTATAGCTTTTAAGTCTTTTGATGCCAGCTTGAGCTCCCCGATGTAATAATTCATTAAACTTATTACATTGATAAAGTTCTTGCCATTTACTGCAATTTCGGCTATTCGCTTAATTTAAAACAAATAAAATAATATAGAACTAAGACTATAAAATCAATGTTTTCACAATTTTTATAAAATTTGATTGGTAAAATGTAATATTTTGTATTGAAAAAGAAGCTGTTATTCAATTCAGTTTTATGCTTCAGAACAAAACTTCTCAGTACAAATGGCTTGAAAAAGAAATACTAATAACTGATCAAACAATTATAATCTAATCTCCTTCTTGAATCATTATGATCTTGAAGGAAGGAATCATTCTTGAACAAACCTTGAGCAGTCATAAAATCAGCTAAATTCCAAATCATTTCACCAGCAATTGTATTACTCTTCCTTAATACATCAAATGCAAGATGTGTTTCTTCCAGTAATTCCTTTTGGTACTGCTCGCTGAATGCTCGACTTGGACCCTTAAAACAAGTGTAAGTATAGGCTGACTTGGACTGTTCCAATTAATTTAAAGTAGACAATTTCACATAAACTATCATATACAATCTTATTTATAGAAATAGACCACCACTTAATTTCACGTAATTAACAATAAATTTAAACAATATTGAAATAGATTCCAAAAATATGAAAATCCCTCACAAACCTCATTTAAACCTGGTAACGCTTCTGCTCCATATTCTGATATCACAATTGGTTTGTCAAATAATGATTTCCAGTTCTTTACTTCAAATACCCAACTACGATTAATGGTTTCTAAATAACCTATATCAATATACCAACCAAAATATCGATTTATGCAAATTACATCTAGCAGATCAGCCTAAAAAGAACCTGAATTCAGTTTCCTGTAAAATATTGTGCAGAGATCCTAGATCAAACCAAAAATGTAAGCGTAAATATTAGTGATCAAAAACTTTGATGTATTTGATTTCAAATTGATTATTCAGGGAAAAAAATTAACAAAAATCCTTACAATAAAGCAGCGAAAGTAATATTTCAACATTAAAAAAGTAATAGTGTTTATATAAATTTTCTCTTACAAGATTAGCATTCTTGGATGTTTCTAACATCATAATGATAGACTAGAAAGCAAGCTTACAATTTGATCAGTATCAAAACTGGCGGATAAAACAGCAGTGACAGGTCGAGTGGGATCCAAAAAATGTGTAAGATTGATTAACTCACTAAAAATATGTTTGGTATGATATGATCAGTTCTTTTGATTTATGAGTTCAGTGTGTATTACGTTTCTTCTCCAAGTAAACAAGTTTTTTTTAACGTCTTTACAAATATCTTCACAAATAAATATTAAAAAATGCACACCAGCGCATGTGAAAACAATATTTTACGTAAAAAAAGTGCCAACTCTGATCGAATAAATTGTATTATTTCAGTAATTTTTGCATTTGCTTTGGCAAGTAAAAATTTTCTTGCAAAAAAAGTTTTCTTTATTAGCAGTGCACCAAATATATTTTATTTGTTAGTTACCGATAACAAGTTGCTTTACCTGAAGTATTGTCGAGCTGCTGGATAGCTGGACACTGGCTCATTAGCCAGTGACCACATAATTACTGAAGGATGATTGCTATCACGTTGAATCAATTCTCGTATCATTTCTGCATGCAGTAATTGGTTTTCTTTGGTGAAGTAACTAAACCAATTTTTGTACTGTTCTGATAATCCTTACACTTTGCAGACATCAAAAATCCTTACTCTTATGCAGTTGTGAAAATTAATATTTTACAAATGTGAAATTTTATAATTATGTAATCAAGATATTGATATCTGACGTGATAAATAACGCAACTGATATCCAAAAATTGAAAAAATAAAGAAATAATTTTAAAAAATTCCATCCTATATGAAAATTAAACACTTTTGAATTTTATGATGCATACATTAAAACTATCACTAAGGGTTACTTCATGAATCACGAAAATTGAGCCAATGCATGCAAAAGAAACACTAAATTTATCTGGAAATAATCAAAGCATTTCGAGATACCTTAATCCAACAGCGGGTGTTTCAGTAATCACAGCAATACCTCGTCGATCAGCTTCATTAGCCATTTCCTCACTATAAGGATAATGTGAAGTACGATAACAATTTCCACTCATCCATTCCAACATATTCAAATCTTTGATCATTACCACTGGATTATAGCCACGACCGTGGAGCTATATATATTGGTAGTTATGATAATTAATAAACACAATAATAATTTATAATTTGGTAGTTATAATAGTTAATATATAAATAATATTATAATAATTAATGTATACAATTATAGTAATTAATACATACAACAATAGATTTATTGTAAGCATTCAAAATTTTAATTTGTGAGAAAATTACTAGTCAACTTTTGACAGCAGAAGTCATTTGACAACACAAAATGATTAGTTGCAAACGCAATTATGTACGTTTAATAGAATTTGATTGTTATAGCTTTAAAATAATTCGATTTTTAGTGGTTTGAGAAGTTACTTCATGCTTGGAAATTATATTTAAATAAGGCAGTGATTCAAGCGTAGATTTCTAATTCAAGAATAGAGACTGAAAAGTAGCAATTGAAATTTTACTCCAAGCTTTTTGCAACATTTCTTATTGAAAAACAAAATTGTGCTGTACCTTTCACCTTCGACCTTTCAAGTCATTTATATCTTTCCGAAGAAAAATGTTTGAATTATTAGATTGATGACTTTTTAAGATCATATTGACTTGTTTATCTATTAAAAATGAGTCACATTTGATAGCCTTTTTAGTATCGAAAAATAACTCACTTCAAAATCTTCATGCATACCAAAACCATGGCAATAAAATAGTTTCCCATTAATGAAAATCTGATCGCTGGAGATACTTACTGTCCGAAAGCCAAACCACAAACGGTAAATGTCAATTAACGTATCTGAGATTAATATTTGAACCTGAAAGATTGATTCGATGCATCAGTAAATCGAGATTTGGCCCACATTCAAATGCTTATGAATCTTAAAATTTGTCACATTTTAAAATGCAAAGTTTTATACAGATTATTGAATTCAACATGCAAATAGAAGTTTCATTTCCACGCTTTCAGGTCGCTAATTAGTAGCATATTAATTACTCGCATATATTAGATGAATGAAATGAGTAATATAACATGATTATGACAGTGATAACAGAACCATAACAAATCCATTTATAAATTCAAAAACAGTAAAATAAATTTTTGCAACTTCAAAATAACAATTAAATGCTAGAAAAATATTAGAATAATATTTTGATAAAAATAAAAATATTATTCTAATATTGAATTTTTCATGATTTGTTTCTTTCTTACAGTGAAAATATATATTTTTTAATGAATATATTGCGTTATCCTTTTATTATTTTAAATACACTACATATATATTTTTGCATCTTATCATCTTCATAATATAAATATAGTCTTCTTCAGCGATCTTTACTTCTTTCATTAAGGATATTAGATGTAATATTACCGTAAATTGATACAAAACAGCTGGTCCCATATCACGAGGCCACCAAGGTTGAATATTCTCAATACGACCATCGTACACCCGATCATTATGATCAAATATAACTTTGCCATACCTATCCAGAACAGTAACTTTGAATGATTCTTCATTTGACTTTGATACTACATCGATTTGGTAACGAAATGATCCTAAAATTATTCTGAAATAAATAAACGGATAATTATTTGGTGAAATTAGTTAGCGTACGAATTAAATGTATTTTTTATATAAATGTAATATCATGTCGTTTTGGTGAAAAACTATTGCATATTATATTTTAAAATCCTTTAGTTTAGCAAAATCCTAATGTATTTATTTTTTATTGCAATTACTCATAATGAATTTTTTTGCCACTAAATTAAAACAATAATATAGTATGATTATGATAGTGATAATCATAGTAAAACCCATTTATAGTTTTGAAAACAATACAATAAATTTGAATAACTTTGGAATCGCAATTATAATTGAATGTAATGTTACTGTAAATTTTGCAGAATTACAGAATAAAATATTCTGTATATGTAAGTTTTACCATCTCCTCCAGCTTCAATACTGATATCTTCTATATATGCGGATGGTTTTTTTGTAATATATACTGGGCGCAAAATTCCAGCATAATTGAAGAAATCGAAATTCCACGTTTGTTTAAAAAATCTGCAAGAAAACACAAAAATATTCACAAACGTATTTTTCATATATCTCGAAATCACGCCAAAAATTTTGTAATCTCCAGTTTATTCGAGTAATCCTTTTTGTCTTTGTATAAAAAAATGAAGTAAGAATTACCAAAAATAAGTTTTCAGTGAACTTACAAAATTTTGGAGGGACTGAATTAAAACAAACAAAAAACAAGTTTTAAACATATTTATAGGCTTATTAGTGATATTGTACGAATATGATGAGGAATAAAAAGGTCACAAAATAAATAAGTTAAGAATTAATCTTGAGCTTAAGTTATCGGAAAGAATGTCGTCTTGATTTCAAACTTTCTGAGCCGAATATTGATACTGAAATTGTTATGATTCATTCTACCACAGTTATGGAAGCAAAAACATTTTATTGCAATAAGAAATAAATTGAAAATTATTGCAGAATATTTATCATTCAAAATTAGTTTAAAAAAATACATTAACATTTTCGTAGCTTAACACTGTCTCAAATTGAAAGCGACAATTTCAACGAACCCGCTAGGATATTGTTGACTTTCTCGACGCTCCTTTTGAATGTATCGAAATTCCCCGGGTGGTATTGTCCGAGAGGTCATTGTGTTATTTACGGCTACCGTAAGAACATTTTCTTTATCAAATAAAATGAGATCTGTAATGTCAATCTCGAAGGGCAGATGACCTCCAATATGGATTCCAGCTGCTTGATCATTCACAAACTGAAACATTTTCACTCATTTTTAGACCAGTTAACAATTTAGCATTCACTTATGCAAAATTATTGCTAATGACTAAATTCCTTAGCTGTGCCACAAGTTCGTAAAATCACACAGCTATCCTCTTATACCATAATCAGTGAACTTTTGAAAAAATAATTTTGAATGGAGACAAGGTTAAAATATCAAATTCTTGCTGATAACTTCCACTTAAATATATTAGAAAAGTCCTGAATTTACAAAATTACATAACAATGTAACAATCATTTTATATATTAGTGAACAATAATCAATGAGATTACTGATCGTAAAATGATGTTAGTATATGCATTTGCATAAAGTAATCTGCTTCATAATTTTAATGTAAGTGATCAAAATTTAAGAATAATGAAGTAAAGTGAAGACTAATTTCACGAATTCCGTTTAAATAATAAAAAAATATAATTGATGAAAAAAGAAAATAAATAAAATGAAATAGAATGATATTTAACTCACTACAGCTGCGTAGTACTGTACACTAGAAAAACGGGCAAAATGCCTGTAGGGTTTGTCACGTGCACTGACGAAAAATTTACGCTGATACCAAACCCAACCAACGTGCTCACGTACTTGAAGATCAGCTGTCAGATCATTGTAAGCTGATGGTACAGGCATAGTTGTTGCATTCTGGACTTTACTGAGTCAACTCATTTTACAGTAATCAAGCAGTTGGAAAAATAGCTTTTCTTGACAATATTTCAAATATATTTAAAAGTATTGGAGTTTAATCTTATTGAATAAAAGTTCAAAAATTTATTTTGAATTAGTACTGAAAAACAATATCTAAATTATACCTTAAATTGTGACAAATCTTGTGAGTACCATTTTTGATGCATGCCTGTGGACGGAGAATTTGTTTCCTCTCTTACAAATGTCCACAAACCATCTAACTGATCATAAAATCGTCTTTCATTTCGCTATAAAATCCTTTAATAGTTCTTAAATTGCCATAATTGTTCAGTTATTTATTATTCAAAAAAAAGTAATAATATGAATAAAAGTGTTCATGAAAGTTAGCTGAAGAATAATTTTCCTATAAAATATCCTTTTTTCTAAGTTAAACCATTTCTTAGTACTGATGAGTATAGTAAATGTAAGAATAAATATCTCAAATCAAAAAACTTCAAAGATCCATTTCTGTCATACCTTTTTATTAACATCATAAGTTTCTTACTTTGGTATTCACGAAACAGAACTGTAAAATATTATACCTGTACTTGTAATATAGTCCAGATTGTTGGAATAAGTGTTGTTAAAAGCAATGAGAGAAGCATACCTGAATCTGAGTTAATATTGAAGAATATTATTAATATTTCAATCCAACAACTTTCATCGAAAAAACATAGATTACAGTTCATTCAAATGCAATTGGATTAAATCCCATGCTTATTGCGCAGTTGATTAATTTCATTTGAAAATAATAACAATCATAATTATTAATTAATTGCTTAATACTAATTTATTTGATATTAACTTGAATTCATTTATAAATTTGCGTTTCGCAAGGTTGTCACGCAATATTTATTGCAGATCATAATGAAAAAATTACTTCATCTGAATCGAAAGAGTTCGTTGCAACTACAAGGATAACTGAATGAATTTTCTTTGTGCTTCTTGTACGATGTAACATATTATATGTTTATGAAATTGAATAAAAACATTTTCAGCAATTAAATTTTTACGATTTAAGTCAGAAAATAAGACATTTTTTAAGCTCCAAATTATTTGAGAATCTTTACTTTATGGCGAAGAATTAAATTCGAACGAATAATTACTATTCGTATTGCATATCATTTGAAGTAAATGAAAGACACTTCAATAAATGCAAATTTTTCTGCAAGAATTTTTGCAATAATACAAAATTTATATGAATGAATTTTTGCAATCTTTTAAATATTTTTGCTGAAAATACATTTTAATTGATAAATTTACGCCTCAAAAACTTAAAAAACTAATGTGTGTTAGAGCGAATTTTGACTGTAAAATGAAAAGTTTGATCGAATGATTAATCGTTGTGGTTCAAATAAGCGATGCACGAAATCGGTTTTTGTGTAACAATAAGAGTGATTAGACTACATGATTCAGAATTCATCATTCGTGTAGTAGTAGTTTCGGACATGACCCATTTGACCTTCATTTGACCTAATAATTTTTTATTTCTTAAATATTTTTACAAAATCTGAGTTGTAAGATAAGCTAAAGATAGAAAAATATTCAAATAATGTTTAATCATTTGTTTATTTTATCTTTTTTTAAAATTAAAAGGACGTTTATATTAGACGTAATTTGCTTGAAATTATTTATACCGCAAAAAGATGAAAATTAATTGTGGATGAATTTTGATGGCTGAAAGAAAGTACGAATTTGTTTTGTGTATTGTAAAGATATTTAAGAACTGATACTTTTGTAGGCACTTTTTAAACCGTTTATTAGATTAGATATTGAACTATTTTTGCAATCGAAAGTAAACAAAATGTGTACTTATTTATAAGAACTGAAGTGAAT